ATCAACTTATTCCTTATCTATTGATTCATCATAAAATAAACCTGCAATGCATAAAGAAAAATCTTAACAATAAATTCTAAAATGCAGTGAAGTCAAGTAGAGTGTTGATTGAATAAATTCATCTAAATGTTTGTAAGTGCTAATTTTTTAACATTAAAATTTAACTTCAGAGTGAAAAAAGTATAAAAAAGACCAGAATTTTAATGAATGTTATAAAATAACATGAACAAAATCAGAAGTTTAATAAGAAACATAAAGAGATAAAAACTGTTTTGAGTAACAGAATTTATTTTCCAACTAACATATTTAAGATATATTCTCAGACAACAGAAACATAAGGAAGAATTGGCAAATATAACCAACTAATAAGTGGCATGGATGGGAAAATATAAGGAAAAATTTGCTAGAATAAAGCTGTAAGCACATTTTTAAAACCAAGGACACTGTGTTTCATCTCAGGAACCAAATATGTACACACAGAAAGACATGATTACACATATAGGTACACACACATGGGCGTACACACATCATAAAACAAACAGTAAACAAAAAATTAACTTGTTTAAAGTCAAAAGTTCAAATTCTTTTCTGAAGCTCATGTTCTCTCTTTAATGTGATTATTTGTAAAATATAATAAAAATGCAGATACATGCTACCAACATATAATTACATAGGGAAAACAAGTCCAAAAGGAAGTATATCAAAGAACTATTGGATGAAAGAAAAACTACAAACAGTATGGGAAAACTTCGAACTCTGTATCTCCACGTCTGATTCAGAAAGCTCTTCAGATCTCTATTTCTTTTCGGTTTGTTTGACTACAACACCCTTGATCTAGTTCCCATTTCTGTTAGGACTTCTCCTGAGAAGGTATACCATGACTCTGACATCTCCAACATGTTGGAATCTTCAATGCAATTCAGGCTTCACCTTCACAGCTTCATACAACAGCCTAGGAGAGGGTAAGGTAAGGCTTCCCATGGTGAGTGAACGAAGTCTGGCATACCACTTTGAGACAGTATCCAGGTCCTCCCTGCTATATTAAGGATGAGCATGATATCTCTCCAAAAAGAATGGGCTTCAAAAATCCAGTTCAAGCACTAGGGATATATCCTGGTCACATTGCCAGTGGCTCCAGAGACTGCCATAGCCACACAGCTGTCACTCAAATTTAGAGGGTCTATTTTGGGCTTATTCAGGCTCCCCCACTCTCAGTCTAGAGTCAATGAGATAAAATTAGCTTAGGTCAGGTGTTTATGTGGACATCTCCATCATGGTCTTGACCCATTTGTTTATATTATTGCTCCTCTCTCTCTTTGACTGGAATCTGGGAACTCAATCATGGTGCTACATGTGTATCTCTACACCTGTTTCCATCAGTTCCTAGATGATGTTTTTATGATGACAATTAAGGCAGCCATCAGTTTGATTACAGAGAAAGGGTACCCTCTTCAGTATTGCTCAAGATCTTAGCTGGAAATGTACTTGTGATTCCTGGGAATTTTTCCAATACCAAGGTTCTTGCCAGCACAATAATGGCTCCATCAACCAATAAGTCTCTTTTCTCCCATCTTGGTCATCCTATTCTCACCCCCTCTTCCTCTTCCTTCCTTTCACTCTCTCTACACCTGCATGCTCCCAAATAGAACTCCTTCTTATAGTTTTATGTACTGAAAAATTGTAGGGGAAACAATATGAATTGATAAAAACAGAAATTTCCATTCTGAAGTAAAGCTCTTGCTTGGGGACATCCTTTATCACATCCATTTTCTTTCTTCATTTACTTGGTATCTTGGTGTAGAAGTTTGAATGGCATGGCTCCTATAGCCTCCTTTGTTTGAATACTCTATTCTCTTTTTGAAACTCTTTAGAAAGATTTAGGAATCATAATTTTTTTGAGGAGGCATATTGTGGGGGTGATATTTGAAATTCCAAAGGCCTGCTATCAACCCATGTGCTTTCTCTACCTCCTCATGGATCTAGATATGAGTTCTGAGCTTCCCTGTTGCCCCATTGTTGCAGACCATCATTAACTCTGTGCTTCTTAAATTATAAACCAAGTTAAGCATGTTCTCTTATAAGTTACTTTGGTCATGGTGTTTCCTCATAGCAACAGGAAAGTAACTAGAAGACCAGGTTTCCACATGAGATCATGGCTCTGAATATAAGATACAATCTGAATTTTCATAAGTGAGTACAGGAAGGGGAGATGCATGGTGACAGAGTTATTATTTTCTGTTGGACAATTGCTCAGGTAGCACTGTCCCATGGACTCAAAATCTTACAGGCTTCATTACTGTCTCAGTGAAATATTTCTTGTACAAAGCAAACACAAGGAATTTACAGAATGAGGGAAAGTGATAATTTGTTTGTTGACTATTTTATCTTTTTTTCTGAGATAGAGTATCTACTTTTCTAGCACAAGTTTCTTTATAACTTCCTAGAAATCCATGATTGATATTTAAATCATAATTTTTCTGCTTGAAAGTCTCAATGATGGGACAAGATACTTTGTTAAGCCACCAAAAGTAAGAATATATGACCAAAATTGTTTGGAAACAAATTATTTTCTAGTTCTATTTTAATGCAGAAACAATGAAGCACACTTCATGGAGCATAATGTTTCATGGATAGGAATGTCCTTTAAAAAGAAAGTCTCCCAAGCCATAAAACAATGCAGAAAATGACACCTTAATCCCTAAAAATAAATTCACCAGTGGAAAAAAAAAAAAACAAGACCCCATATGCCTATGGTTTCTGGATGCCATGCTCCTGCTCCCACTTCCCCTCACCAACATCCCTTCCTCACTTCTCCAGCTTTTATTGCTTGCCTACAGTCCTGGCATTAATCTGTTGAATTGGGATTCTTTCTACCACAGATTCATTTCCCCCTATCCTTCCACTCTAAAACTGCATAGATGTTCTGTCCTTATGTTTAGGTTCTCCCTTACAGCATCTTCTAATCTGGTCATTAATGGGACCACCTGAGTGCTTCCCTGGCTTCTGCAGCCTATACCAGGATTTTTAAGTTGGAGCTGGTCATGGTATGGCAGACTTTTTTAGAGGTGGAGTCAGGAACATGGCAGCTCTCAGAGGAGGGGGCTTGGGGTAGAATTTTCCACTCAAATATTATCTATGACCCACTCCCTGTCAAGGAACTAGTGTCTGGTATTGCAAAGACAATTAAGAATCAATGATTGAGGAAGCCATACACCTTGTGAGATAACATAACTGGAGTTTTGCTGAATAGGCCTGGTGTCAAATTGTCTTCTACATAGTTATATTTATACTTGTACATTAGTAATGCTGTGAGATTCATCTGAGAAACTGCTTTTTGTAGTAGATGGTACTTAATATAGATAGGTATTCACAGATTTTCAAAGTGATAAGAAAAACTGTGGAATGCAAGTACTTATTCTAAGAAGATTTATCCTTTCTTTCTGACTCAAAGGACATCAGAAACATAATATAGGAGATACTATTGCTATGGTTACCTGTATAAGAGGCAGCAGATGATACATAACATATTTTCATGTAGTATGGAGGAGATGTTAATGAGTATTCACTACTCATGGACAGTTTATTAGCAGAAAAACGCTATTGGGAAAGTGTGTGCTATGTTCCAGAAAATTAGCCAGAGTGCAAGCAAAAATATATATAATTTACTAGATCAAAACAAAAATAACAATAGAATTGGAGGGAGACATTAGTGAATAAGAGAAAAAAATAGCCATTGGACATAAAAACATAAAAATAATCATTATTTGCAATTTTAATTAAATTTTAAAAGAATAAAATAAAACAGAAAGAATAGCATAAGCAGTATATGGAACACCATAAAATGAATACATGCCTATATTATGGTTTTCTAAAAAGAAGAGAGAAAGATAGACATACAAAAATCATACTAATTGAAGTACTTTCTGAACATCCCAGGTCTTTGAAGCTCAAAGACATTTAGATGAATTCATTGCAAAAGATCAAATCCAGAAAGAAAAATAAATTAGACAAAGGGTGGGGATTAAATTAAACTTAAAGAAATCCTATTAGGTAGATACTAATTTCTTTTTTTACCAACATAACATTTTTATTAATTACTTAGGAATTTTATACAATACACAATAAATTCACTTGCAAATCAAAAAATGAGGAGAGAATTGGAAAATACATTCAAAATTCTATCAAGAACAGTAAATTTTCTATTCATCCAGAAAATAAAATTAACAGGAACATTGGAAATGGGGAAACATAGCCACTCTCTGAAAACTGAAAGGTAATTTAACCTGAAAATAAGGAAAATAAGTTTTCACTAAATTCATACAAATAACAGAGTAAAAAATAAAGTTGCATTAATATATAAAAATACAAAACTTGAACAAACAGGAAAAATAGAAGAAAAACTTTCAGAACAACTAAAAAATATTAACATATTCCCAGTATGTACATATTCCTACTCATTGATAACTGTGCATGTACTTGCAATTAAACATGCAGTCAAAATAGAATAGCTTGATTGAGGGAAAAAAAGAAGCACTTCTTAGTCAGAAAATACATACTTCATTAGTAAAGACATAGTATGAAATTTAAGGACTCAGTGAACACACTTTACAATAATAGAAAACAGGGGAGAAAGATATGCAATAATTTGTATTAACAAAATGGAATTTAATTCAAAAGTCCAAAAGTTTGCAAATGAAGTAATTGTGTACTTAAGGAGAAAGTTTAACAAAGGAATAAGTCTGCATTTCCTGTCTTCTTTACTGGCTAGTATTCAGCAACAAATGTAAACAAGGACTAAAAGATCAGAATGAGTTTTTCACTCTGCTTTACTCCCACCATTCCTAGTTGCAGGGAAGGCTCTTGTTTGTGATTCTCCTGAGGCCTGCACAGTATCATTGTTTTTGTAGCTGTTGAGGCCATAAATGGATGACCAATGAAGTATAAACAGGGTGCTCACGCTCCAAGGCCCTCAACTGTAACTCATAATCTGGAGTTCCTCATCACCTCTTTCTCTCACATTTAAATAACATATTTGCCAGCTGGATTACCCTAAGCAAGGATGTTTTTGTTAGGGTCTGCATCACTGTGGGAGGAACATGTGTACCTTGCATGCAGTAATAAACTCCCAAATCTTCAGGCTCCACTCTGCTGATCTTGAGTGTGAAATCTGACCCTGACCCACTGCCACTGAACCTGTCTGAGACCCCAGAATATCGGTTGGAAACCTCATAAATTAGGAGCTGTGGTGACTGGCCTGGCTTCTGAAGAAACCAATATAAATAGGTATAACCATCACTAGCAACAAGGCTCTGACTAGACCTGCAGGAAATAGAGGCTTGATCGCCAAGACTGACAGTTAGGGACAGTGGAGATTGGGTCATCACAGCATCACTCCTGGAAGCTGAAATAATGAGAGAGAAGTATAAAGTTATCAAAAAGCTTCATGAAAAATCTCCGTGGTTTCTTTTTTGATATTTATTTCAACTCTGATGTTTATTTTTTACATACAATGTTTTATACAATAAAATTCCATTTTTAATAAAACAAGTGAACTAAAAGCCTTAATAATTTTCTAGGAATAAATTTTACCATTCCACACCATATGCATCATAAAGTCATGATAATACAGATTATGCCCATCAGAATCTTGCTCTCACAGATATAAACTTCACAGGCCCCATCCTGAAAGATAACACCCATCTTATTATACACAGACAGAATACATGTGACCAGAAATGGGACCAAACTCATCCTCTCTTCCCATCCTCCCTTTTTTCTTCCCTCTTTTCTCACCAGGAATCAAGAACAACAGAAGCGCAAACAGCAGAAACCTTGACTTCATTTTGAAAGAAAATCTTGGAGACTGATTAGTCACTGGAAGGTGACAGCAGAAATATTATTTCAGAGTCGGAAGAGTGGGCCCTCCCTAGGGAGCAATATGCAAAGTGCCAGGGTTCGTGCTTCAATATAGATAGAGGGAAGAGTCGTGTAGTCTTCTCATGATGGCAAAATTCATATAAAATATCTTCTGCGTCAAGGGTGGCAAAAGTAAAACAAAATGTGGTACTTGATAGGAAAAGAACATGCTAAGATCTATCAATCTAGGCAGCACCAGACACTCTATAAAGGCTTTATTACAGAAAGCTGGAAAGAGTGACAATGAACACACATATGGAATCATTCTCTATGAGTTGAGTAACTATGCCTTTACTCCTCTTTCATCAAATTTACAGAAAAACAGCTGTCATTTAAAAATATTAAATCAGAAAGTGGGGAGATATCTTTCCTGTGGTTCACTGAATTTGCCTCCAGAGAAGAACAAAAAAAAATACTAGGAAAATATATCTTAACTGTTTATTATGAAATCATAACAGTGGTGGGTACTAAAAATAATTATCAATAGAAATATGGTTTGGGGAAATTTTGGAAGTGAGGAATGGGTCTCCAGTGTTGCTGCTAATAGTGTTTCACAGGTGAGTTTCAGCTCAATTGTTTTATATGCATTGGAGATATATATATATATATATATATGTATATATATATATATATATATACTTTATGCAGGAATTATAGCTCAGAAAAGTAACATTTTTATATTTGTCATGTGTTTGTATGTATGTCGAGACATGTGTATTGCTTATGACACATATGGATGCAGAGGATATCCTGGGTTTCACTCCTCTCTGAACATGTTGCTCCATGTGAAATATCAAGTTGTTTCATGTGATGATAGTCATTCCTATTCATTGAGAAACCTAAACAGTTCACTCAATGAAATGATTTTAGAAACATATGAGAATCTCTCTGGGTGTTGATAGGTAGCTCAGGAGTTAAGAGTACTTGCTGTTCTCCAGAGGACCTGAGTTTAGCAACTAGAACCTGTTCTGAGCTGCTCACATTGGCTTATAACTTCAATGCCAGGAGAGTTTATACTCCTTTCTTTCTTCTATGGTCACTGACTTGCACAGACAGAGGCACCAACAAATACACATAAATTTAAAAAGAAAAAAAATCTCTTTCTAACAGATAGAAAGCTATTATATATGTGCAAATGCAAGAGAAAAGGAAAATTTTATGTCTCAGAACAAGAGTATGGAATTTAGGGTAGCCTGTAATTAAAGTCTGAACAAAGTCTTGTCAAATTAATGTAAACTAGAAGCGTCTGGGAAGAAGGAAAATCAACTGAGAAAATGCTTCTCTTTTAATGGCCTCTAAGCAAGTGGGGGTATTAATGATAGATGCGGAAAGACCCATCCCTATGAAGACAGTTCCCCAGAGGGCAGGGAACCCTGACTGCTCTTTGGACTGGAGAGGGAAGGTGAGGGAGAGTGACGGAAAGGGAGGGAAGTGGGAGGAGGAGAGGAGGTGGAAATTTTTAATAGAAAGAAAGGAAGGAAGGAAGGAAGGAAGGAAGGAAGGAAGGAAGGAAGGAAGGAAGGAAGGAAGGAAGGAAGGAAAGTCAGTGCCACGCCTGGACAGATGTTCCTGGGGATTATTAGAAATCAGGCTGAACAAATCATGGGAAGCAAATCATTATTCAATTCCTCAATGGCCTCTGCTTCAATTCCTTCCTCTTGGTTCCTGACTTGCTTGAGTTCCTAAATTCATGTTTCCTCATGATACACTGTGATGTGAAACCCAATCCTCCATAAGTTCTTTCTGATGAAAGAACTTTCTGGTGTTCATTACAATATAAAGCAATCTAGGATATGCCTCAAAGTTTTCACTGGCACCTATGTCAAATTTGCAAAAAAGTCTTCTTAAGATAAAGGCTCTCGTTGATTCATAGGGCATAATGAGAAAAACCAGCTTCATGTTATCTCCTAATGGTGTCTTACAAAAGATCTAACCTTTCAAAAATTTTCTTAGTAGAAATCTTAAAACATGCCAGATTTTTTATTACTTTGAATGATAATCTATTTCCCTCATAGGCTCTGTGTTGTAGAATAACAAAGAAGTACAAGTTGACAGAATATTCCAGGTAGGTGAACAAAACTAGATCTACTATTTTAGTGCCTCAGGATAATCTGTCCAGGTGACCCCACCAGTCCCATGCATCTTTATTTGTAGATGGTCTCCAGGAATTATGATAATTAGTTAGATTTTTCTCAGTAGAGTCAGTCTGATGTCATAGCCTCAACAAATGGAGAGACAATGTTAATTCCTTGGTACTCAAACCCATGGTGATCATTTTGAGTTCAATAGTAGTTGCCAGTTGTGTCAGCTTCTCAAAGCTTAAAAAAAAAAAAAAAAAAAAAAAAAAAANACAAAGAATAGCATGTAGCCAGGTGGCTCTACCTTACCAGGCGGTGGTGGCGCACACCTTTAATCCCAGCACTTGGGAGGCAGAGGCAGGTGGATCTCTGTGAGTTTGAGGCCAGCCTGGTCTACAAGAGCTAGTTCCAGGACAGGAACCAAAAGCTACGGAGAAACCCTGTCTCAAAAAATCAAAAAAAAAAAAAAAAAGAATAGCATGTAACTCTGTTTAGCTATGAATAAATTTATTAATAAACCTCAAATGAGCAAAAGTGAGCCAGCATATTTTATATTAAATATGAAAATTAAAAGTATTACTTCCAAACATATATGTTTAATAATTAGGTTTATTGTGTAAGCCATGTTTTATAGGCTTAGGAAACATAAAATGTTAAAATTTTAAAAAGGTTAGAAAACAAATATATTACATGTCTCTTCCCCAAGTATTTTGTTTGTTTATATCTTGGTTTTTATGTATTTCATTTATTTTATTTATTTATTTGTTTGATATAATGAGACATAGGATGTCATCAAACCAATGGTCTTTCTGCCTCCAATTCCTATATCTAGCAATTCTTGCCAGGATTTGTGAGTCCCTAACTTTTTAAAGGAATGATTTCCCCTTTGGATATTTTTTTCAATTTCTAAATAACTTTCCTTTCTGCACTGATATTTAGTTAAAATAGACAGTTACTGTTGATTATCAAATTACCTCTTAGATTTTGTCTGAGACTTAACAAAATTCTTTCTATAGATTTCTGAAGTGTAAACTTTTTCAGCAGTGTTTTATACTTTTAATGGTATATGCATATGTTCATTGATTTATCAACTTAGTACAAGTTTGACTTTCCTTCAAAAGAAATGAGGATTTGATTCTATCAGATTGGACTATGGGCAAGTCTGTGGGGGCATTGTCAACTCTAGGAGCTCAGTCTACTTCTTGACTGTGGGTCACTCCATCCTGTTGTATACATAACAAAGGAAAATAAGTTGTCGATTTTGGAATGCTGTGGAAAGTATATTTCCCCTGAGGTGAATGTAGGATTAACTATTGGCTATTGAATTATTCTTGGAGAGAGAAAGACATTGTCTTTATTTATGTACCCACACATGAGCACACTAATCTCCAAAAGAAAATTATAAACTAAATCTTGATAAAGGAAGCATTTTAGTTAAATTCAGTGGGTCATGTAAGAAAACACAACAAATAAACAAAAAACCCAGAAGATATGGATGTAGAAAAAAGAAAGATAAGACTGGGTGTGTGTGTAAGAGAGAAGTTATAATGCAATCATGCTTGCATAAAATTTTCAGAACAATTACAAAATAAAATAGAACAGCATTTTAAGAATTATAGAATGTATTGAAGAAAATAAAAGTAAATAATTTGTTCAAATATAAGATCAGTTTTAAAAACTTTAAGTAAAACAGGAAAAAGTTATTTGAATGATAACTCTGCAGTTAAGAATATGAGCAGCCAATTTCATCCTTCTGTAATTAGGCAAATTGTCTGGAACAATGCAGAAACTGGGCTCTATAGATCACAGGTTTCTAAGTCATTAAATATATACTAAGCCGCTAAGAATAAGCAGACTTTTCTTTGGGGCATTTTTATGAAGACAAAGGCACGATTTGTGACCAAGGAGATAGACTAGAACAGAAGAGTAAAGCCTCCAAAATTCAGAGAGGTTTTCTTAGTATGGTACAGCAATAACTGCTTGCACTTTCTCTGAGCATTTTTGGTCCTGTTCCCTTGTGAAAACCCTGCCACTCTAACAATATATGGTTCTCTCAAATTCAACATAGGGAAGTCTCCATTCATGAATGTCCTCCCAGGGCTTACCATAGGGAATCCAGCCTGCCACAGGTATTCCAGCCCTGCCTGGCATCAGCAGCTCTCTGAAGTTGCAGAGAAGAATCCATGCCCCTCTCAGTCTTGTATTTTTCATGTCACCAAATCAGTATCATGTAATGACACTACCAAGGTCTCCCATCATTTAAAAATGGAGTCTGCTTTCCTTAGGGCATACTTCCTTTTACTAAATAACTACTGTGGGTCATAGCTGGCTCATACTAATTAGAGGTGCCATAAAACTCAAATTGCTGAATAAATTCTCAACCATGAGCTGGTTCTAAATTGCAAACAATATTTCACTTTACTGGGACCAAAAATTTCAAATGTGGTCTATGGGAGTGGCAAGGTATAAGAAGTATCCATTCCTTACATATGTGTTTAAAGGGTTTCTCTTGTTTCAAAGAAGGCAGAAGGTGATAGGATTTTTTAAATTATAAAAACATGGCAAGAACAACAATCACAATTTGAATACAATTTTCCAAGAAAACAAGATTGATACAAGACTGAATATACAATGGGAATTAATGAAGAAAAGCTATTGTTAACATAAATTAATACATATATTATAACTGTCCTCTGCAAACAAACAAACAAACAACATATGAAGCAGCTGGACCATAAGAATCTAGATATTTGTTAAAGATTCTATCAGCTAGTAGGAACAGACAGAGCAAGCATACAACAATATACTTCAAAGTCTTCCGGATCCATGAATCTGATTTGGAGTATGAAATTTATTATTTAA